GTGATCTTTAATGTAATTATAGTATGCAAAAAACTTACAAAGGACATTGTACTTTATCCATATCCAAGCTGTTAATGTAAAATGCCAAGAAACAACAATGGAGGTAGAAAAATATCTATGTCCTAATGCAGTGGTTCTCAACCTTTTTAATGCCGCGACCCCCAACCGGTCGTAAGTCGAGGACTACTCAACTGGTGCAGCACCGTTTGCAGAATGGAACTTTTGGCGGGCTCAAAAGCCAATCGAATAAAAGGGAGTACCACAGCTAAGGGGGAAAAAATGGCGGACTGTGTTGTTTGGCGACCCCCGTGAAATGGTCGTTCGACCCCAAATGGGGTCCCGACCCACAGGTTGAGAACCACTGTCCTAATGGGTGTGTGTGTGTTTCATACAAAGAAAGACTGGTTAATCTTACTCAAACATATTTTCAGAATTTGTCTATCAAGAATGGTTTTTGAGTGATGTACAAGTTTACTTTAATATTAGTCTGTATTTACAAGTTAAATAAAAGCACAAACATGTTACTTAAAAAGAAGCTCTGTTTGATTTTCTACTGAATTTTACATCCACAATATCTCTCCTAAGGGTCTAGCAATAATCAGCCAGCACACTGGGACCCCATTTGCATTGGTATCACTTTTCCATGTTCAAAATGTCTTGGTGAAATTGCTGATTGTGCCGAGGTTGTCAAGGAAAAATTCCAATTGAGAACAAGAATAAACTTTCAATGGCTACAACACATAGCTTGATTTGATTTCAGAAGATCATTCACTAATTCATGATAGTTTTTTACTTTATGATTTCCCAAAAAGGTTTTGCAAATGCTTTTAAATGCTTGCCATGCCAGATTTTTCAGCTTCAGTTAACTTTTAATTAAAGTTGTCATGTTTTCTTAATTCTCTTAGCTGAGGACCTACAAAAATACCTTCCCTAATCTTAGCATCACTAATCCTTGAAATTTAGTCCTCAAGTACGTGAATCCAGTTCTTTTATCCATTACTTTAATATGTTTCATATGTCCAAATTTGATGTACAAAAGGAGGAAGGAAAATCTTTTCAGGGTGACAAGTATATTATTTACTGTATGTATTTCTGAAGCAAACAAGGTATCATTTTGCCATTCTTCTATAATGTAAAGGGTTTTATTTTGTTCCTATTGTCTCATTCCTATATAAAAACAGTACCTTGCATTTTCTAAGCTGGAATCTGAGCAAAAGTGCAATAACCTTCAGATCTCCACAGATATTCGATTTATATTTTTTATACTGAATCTTTTCTCAAAGTAATTTCATATTCTTACACGACTCTTTCAAGTTAGCTGTTAGGGCTGTTTGTATGAACAGGGCTATTTGTATTTCCATTGAAAAAAAAAGGCAGTTTTTGAGGAATCAATAAAAAATTGCCACTCATATTGTGTTCATGGCTGAGAGCCTCCATAACTGAACAAACATCTTCACAAAACTCTATTATAGCCCATCTACTTGGAAGAATTTCTTAAATTCATTACACAGCCATGTTGAGGTGGGTGGGCTTAAGTATCATGGCAAAGAAGATCTAGCCTTTTAATTTCATAACTAAAAGTTCAGCCTGCAACTTAAGTTCAAATCATGAACAAGATCCTCTTGTGTCAACAAATGAGGCTTATTTGAAGAGCAGATAATTTAAAATATTGGGTGAGAATTATTGCAGATAATAAATCAGGATAAATCAATTCTTCCATGCCACAAAAGTGGTAAACTGCATATAGCATGAAATCTTACACATCACACGCAAATGTCGGTGACGCAGTTCTCTTGGTCACCCTCCTTACAATCAAGATAAGGTTTATAGCATCTTTTAACAAGTGGGATGAAGTTTCGTTTCTGAGACTTAAATGTTTACTCACCACAAAACAGCAGAAAGTATCAGGATAATTTATGATCTTACGCTATTACAATCAGTCTAATATTAATCTGAATACAGAGAATATATAGTTAAACTATTTATACTGTGAGTTCTGGCCCCAGACCAATAAGGAATTGCTCTCCAGGAAGAAACTGGGCTCATGTTAGACATGTTGAAACATGATTCAACCTGCAGTGTGTTGTCTTGTGATAGTTATTATGCCTTCTTTCTTTGTCTTGGGATTATTTGTATTAGAGAACAGTAATAATAACCTGATTTTGCTCAATAACTGTTACAAATATGCTACTGTAGTTAAAATATAGTACTATGCCATTAATTGAACAGAATAATAAAGATGGGATCACAAATAAACTAATCTTTAAAAAAACCGAATTCATTTTGAAATTCAGCATGGAAAAAGTCTGCTGAGACTATAATATATATTATAGTCCATACTTGTGGACAAAATTATTGTTGATCAGTAGTTTCAAAGAAGCATCTGCTTGACTAGTATTGTTAATAGAATACTCAATAAGATGATTCTTTGATATGTATTAGAGAAGCTTAAGCCTCCATCTTCATCCATTGTTCATTCTACGCTTGCAATGTAAGTTGTAGATATCACAGGAGATTTTCCAGGAATAAATCTGGCAACTCTAATTTCAAATTAGGAAGGGAAAAATGCAGATATTAATTTTTCTCAAATGCCCCAACTTGTTTTTTCTTATCAAATAACTTACGACTGAAATCTGTCATTGGCCAAAAATATATTTCATAATTTGAAATTTCGCAATGTTACAGAGGTAACACATGCAAGCATTTTAAATTTCTGCAATTTAAAAATGTATCTTTGCACAAACACAATGATATTTTAATGAAAAGTATCATAGTAATTAATGGTAGTAGTATTAGTTCTCGAACTAAGTCATATTTGAATTTCAAAGATGGCAGAGGGGCCCAGATCCCCTACCTATATCTTTGTTACTTCCTTATTGACACATTTTGAAGTAGCATTGGTTACAGATTTGGTTAAACTTCAGACCTGGTAGACAAACTGCATGACCAAACGTACTTTATTGGCTTCATCAAGGCTTCTTACATTTCTTCTCATATTCAAATTAGAGAAAGAAAACAGTGCCAGAATTTTAAGTGAAAAATTATAAATCTGTTCTAATTTCTAAACAGATGCATAACACTATTGTCCCATACTACTTATTAATCTATTCAATAGTGAGAGTAATCACTAGCGACCCTCCCACTTATGCACCTAGTATATATATAAAATATTACTGTGAGTCTATAATTCCATTCACTCTTATTAGAATGACCCTGATTCCTGAACAGAGTTATAAATTTAGATATATAATTCAAGATAAATAACTCGAGAAACAAAATGCTGGCTCAACAGTTTGTCTTAATTGTGCTGAGTTATAGCACCCATCATCCCAGATGTTTGTTTCAGAGATGAGGACAGTGGAAAAATAATAATCCCGATTTCACAACCTTTTTCCTCTCTCCCCCCTCCATCTCCTCCTGCTCTAGAGTTGCAGTCTAAGCAGGCTACAATATTTGAAAGGAACTTTTATGACGTGTCCCTTTCCTGGTATTGCATTTGGATGGCGGATAGGGGGGAGGCTAGGAAAGATCTCATTCTAGTCTATTTAGCAATAATGAGAGCAGGCGGAGGAGGAAAAAGGAGAGAAATTACGCAAGACCCGGGGTATTTCGCTTTAACATTCCTGCGACAGTTTTAAAATAAAAGAGCTGGGAAAGGCGAGGAAGCAGCGCACCACTAGCCTGTCCCCGGCTAGTCCGGTGACTCACGTGCCAGGGCCGATGGGGGGGCGGAGTGGGGAAGAGTCCTGCTCTAAGGTTTGGCGTCCTGGAGGCCCCCTATTGACTAATAGCTTCCCGCCCTCTTCTCCCTCCCCTCAGGATCTGGCATTCGGCTGGCTGCTGGCAGCCCTCACGCGCCCTCGCTCGCCCTATAGTCTCCGCCGCCTGGTCTCCTTTCCCTCCCCTTCCCCGGCAGTCCGCAGTAGCGCTGGAGGCGGCAGTTTCGGCCCTCAGAAAAGCGCGGGCATCGCCGCTGAGCGAGCTCGCGGTTGCCAGCCGGATGATCTCTACTCCCACCCCGCCCGTCCCTGCTCGAGAATTATTAGGCAAAGCTTCCCTTTCCAGACAGCAACGCTTCCCCTTCCTCTGCAAAGCAGGCAGGAGGCAGTCTCTGGTGAGGACGGGGGTATAGCATCCCTTCAGACAGACCCAAACGGCTTCACCCAACCGGGGACCTCCAGGGTGAAAGTCGCGTGTGTATGTGTTTGTGTACGAAACGTACTAAATAAGCTCCAAGTAAACACCTCCGAGCACCTCCCCCGGCCTCTCTTTCAACTGACTCCAATGGAGAACTTCTCCCCGGTCGTCTGGAAAGGTGGAAGTCCCCCCGACTTGATCTGCCTTAACGCGCGAGGAGGCTCCCTTCGCCTCTAGCTGCTGCGCTCCCGGCGTCGACGAAAGAAGGGTGGGGCGGGGCGGGGGCGCCGTGCCTGGCCGAAGAAGAGACGGACACCTGGAGGTTTGTTGTGGAAAACCTGGTTACCTGGTCAGTGGATGCCGCCGCCGCAGAAGGAACTTTCCTTGAGGGCAATTAAAATAAAAAAAAGGGGTCACCCTTGGCACTCCACAGCTGGGGGACGCCCGTCAGAAATATCCCCGTCGCGGCAGCTGCAGAAGACGGGATTTGGACGCGCCCGCTGCCTCGCGGGGGGGGGGGGGTTCGCCAAACTCCGGGAAAACCTGGGCGCCTCCGTCAGCGGCCCGCTCCCGATCCGGAGCGAGGCATCCGAAGAGGGCCATGGCCTAAGGCAGCGTACGTATCTTTGATGGGGAGGGGGAGAGTCGGCGGGAACTGGCCGTCTCCCTCCCCCGCGGCCCCCGATTGCGTTTTTGGAGCCTCGGGGCAGACCTGGCTTGGTTTTTACGGGAAGGCGGGCGTTTTATTAACGGAATTCGAGGCGCGTGGTGGTCTTTTCAAATCCAACCACAATCCTGCCTGGTTTGTCCTCTTTGACTCTGTTGGGAAAATACAAAGTTTTGATGTAAGTGCAATCAACGGAGCGTTCCGTGAAGGTTAGGGGTTTATTCAGACGCGTCTTTTCTGCAGTTTGGAAGTGTCAGGCTGTGCTTTTGAAGGGTATCTCTGACGCCGGGACTGCCTCCTGGAAATTGCTCGTTCTCCTGGTTCTTTCCCTCTCAAGCGACTTTTCTCTCTGCCCCGAAATCGCGTCCCCCTTTTTCACCGATGCCTCCCGTTGGATTGGCCGTGAAAGGAAGCGCTAGACTGGCCTCCAGAGTGCTCCTTCCCGACGGTGTCTCTCGTTCCCTCCCTTTCCCTCTCAAGTCATCCAAAGCCCTGCCGGGGAATGGGAGGGAAAAAAAGTTGCATGTGAAAAAGTTGAAATAAATATTCCCTTCGGGAGATTTGTCATCTTGTTGATCATTAAACTGAGTTAGATCTAGCAGCGTTTGATTTCTCCACTTCTCTCTTGTTTTGCTTTGACTGAAGGGGAGCAATGGGTTTGCTGTCTGCTCCTCTTGAAGGTTTAAGACTGGTTGGGAGACATTTCCATATCTATGAGTATCCCTCTGTATCTCTGTCCGATTTTCTGAACGTTCAGTATTGAATTGTAAATAATCAGGACGAGATTATAGGTGTTTCACTGTGATCTCCCTATTCTGTAATAAGAAGGGAAAGAAATTCAGGGTTGGAAAACTGGAGGTAATACTTGTTTTACCCAACTTGGTACCCTGTATATTTTAAGTTGGATATTGTAGCTGAATGTAATGTGACATCCTCACTTGGGTGGCTAGTGTTGGCTTTGTGGGTACAGTAAGGACAAGAAGTTGCTGTTATTTTATATATTTGGTGGTTCTTTTTTTCAGATATGCAGTGGTGAGACCACAGACGCAGGTGTCTTAATCTTGCTCTAAAATTCTAAACAATTTCCTTCATTTGAGCTTCATATTTCAAAATCCCCGAATGTGAAGTGATGCTAAATGTGAGTGTCTTTGAACATGTCTAGAGCGTTGTTCTCTTCTAACCACTGTCATCCCTACCTTTTCATAACTTTGTTTGAGAAATGGTTCTAAGTCAAGGTGCATAAGTGTTAATTTTAGAAATTGAGCAAATTCAGTTCCTTCCAAATAAGATTACAGCAATGGCCATAATTCTCTAGAGCAGACTTTCTTACCCAAGTTTCCAAGGGAGGATTCTGTGTGAGGCCAGTGCGGGATCTGCCTGCCAGCTTGCTGCTTTGCTGTTGTTCTAAATATTGTAAAACATGGACTGTTAGGTTAGAAGTAAATTGTATTGTGAAGTTTTTGTTATTTTTTTATACAGGGGTTCCTTGAGAACTAACCATTATTTCATGGGTTTCTTCAAGGTAAAAAGGTTGAAAAAAGCTGCTCTAGACTAGAGGAAGAACATGCACTGTCATTGGAGGCTGAAGTTCACGTATGCCATTAAGAATCACTCTTGGAATAAAAATTAATTTCCATTTATAGCACAAGACAGTAGGAAATGTATGATGAAGCTTTTCTTTACTCAAAAAAAAGAATAAAAATGTTTTATTCCATTCTGGAATAAAAATATTTGTAGTTGGCCAAGCAATTGTGATTGGCTCCCAAATCACATGGTGATATCTGAAGCTGCAACATGTGGCTACATGTTTATGTTTCAGTGGCCTCAGAGAGATGTAGGGGGACTGAATTGCTGAATCTTAAAGGGACTGCGTTTGTTCCCCTTTGTGTATTGTTTCCTGTAAAATAACAGGATCATGACTTAGCTAAAATTGGAGGAAATGAGATGAAACTGATTTCCAATAATTTCAACTGCAAGGTAGTCAACAGGTTTAAGCATTGCTACTGCAATGTGCCCAAATTATATTCAAAATTTACCTAAAATTAATTATCACCATTTAAAGAATTGTAATATGTTTTTTATGTATTGCAAGAATTTATTTAAATCTTTAGCAATTTTGTTTTTTATCTCTAACATTGCAGGGAAATCAGATATATGGTGATCAGGGGATCATTATTGATTCTTTTCATTTATATCTTACTAGTTGTGTATATCACATTTTGTGAAAGCTGATATTCACTCAGTCTTCAAAAGCCATCTCTGACTTTTCAGATTTCATAGCTAAAATCCGAAGAAGGGACTTGAAATGGAAGAGTTAAACATTTTTTAGTGGTGTTTTTTTCTAAAGCAATCATGTGTGACCCCTGACTAGTTTTAGCTTTTTAAAGGAAGATCTAATCACAGCTCCCATGGCATGTCTAGTTTGGCTTTCTGATATATATGAGTGAAATATGTGTAAGAAAAGTAATGTCAGCAATAAATATTAGATATTATCTGAAAAACTTTTAGGAAGTGGTAAAACTGAATGGCTCGTGGTTCTGGATTTCAAGATGTATTAGATCAGACAATTTACTTGCTCTGTTTGTTACGCTGATTAGCAGTAGGATTTGGGGTTCTCAGCCAAAGAGATGTTCATACCACTTAGGCTTAACTGGTGATGCTAGAAATTGATGCAAGGACTTTCCCATGCAACATACACAGTAGAGAGAAGAGAAAAGCAACCTAGAACTAAGGAAAAACATCCTGAGAGTTAGAACAATTAACCAGTGAAACAACCTGCCTCCAGAACAGTGGTTCTCAATCTTTTTAATGCCGCGACCCCCAACCGGTCGTAAGTCGAGGACTTTCCCTGCCCGGGAGCGCCGCACATGCTTGGTGCCGCCCCCTGCGCCGGCCGAGGCGTAGCTGGCAAGGGGCAGCGACGGCGCAGGGCAACCACCGGCTGGGCCAGCAGCTGGCCCAGCCCAAGGCAGGTAAGGCACCTGCCAGGCCCCACACGTGCCAGCAACCTTCCCTGCGCCCGCCGCTGCCCCGCTAGCCTTACCTTGGCCACCACCTGTTCGGGGCGGCGGCAGGCAGGCCCAGGCGCTCCTGGGCGGCCACGGCAAGTGGCAGCGATGGCACAGGCCGACCACCGGCTGGGCCACTAGGTGGCCCAGCCCAAGGCAGATAAGGCACCCGCCGGGCCGCACGCGCGCCACAATCCTCCCTGCGCTTGCCGGCCTCCCACCTCCCACCCCTGGCCCTCTTTTACTTACTTTTAATAGTTGCTCAGCAGGGAGGGAAGCTTTCCAGAAAGTTCACCTTGCAGCACCGTTTGCAGACTGGGGCTTTTGGCGGGCTCAGCAGGGCAAAGGCAGCCTGGACAATTCCTATTGGCTTTTGAAAGCAAATAGAATTAGACTCTATTCAAGAGAGTCTATTCTATTGGCTTTCGAACGCCAATAGAATAGAGTCTCTTGAATAGAATCTATTCTATTGGCTTTCAAAAGCCAATAGAATAAGAGGGAGTAGCACAGCTAAAGAAAAGGGAAAAAAAATGGCGGTCAGCCTTGTTTGGCGACCCCTGTGAAATGGTCGTTCGACCCCAAATGGGGTTGCGACTCACAGGTTGAGAACTGCTGCTCCAGAAGCTGTGAATGCTCCAATGCTGGAAGTTTTTAAGAAGAGATTGGACAGCCATTTGTCTAAAATGGTATAGGGTTTCCTGCCTGAGCAGGGGGTTGGACTAGATGACATCCAAGATCCTTTGCAACTTTATTATTATTATTATTATTATTATTATTATTATTATTATTATTATTATTATTATTATTATTATTATTCCTACTAATAAAAATAGGTATTTTTTATGAAGCCCTATAAGTCTTTTCTATGCAAGGACATAGTAGTTATTTCACCTGTTTTCACTATTGTGAGAATTAGAAAAGTGATATTTTCTCTCTCTCTCTTCACCAGGAGTGGCACATAAACATAAATAATGCCCACGTCTAGTTTAGTTTATAAACTCCTGCAGATTACAATGACACATTCATGCGTTTTTTGGTATCAGTGCAAGAGTGGCTTGACATTACCTTCTTCCAGGATGTTTTCCAGGGACCTGTTGGTCTCCCATTGGGTAATAAGTCAGATCCAGTCTTGCTTAGCTTTTTCAGTACCAGCCACAGTTGACTAGATACCAACTTGTGTTGGAATGTTAATTGTAATTGTATAGATAGTTAAAAGTAATAACTAGCCAAGACAGACAAATGCATTCAGTTCACATTGGTTTAATTTCTTATTTTGTCCAATCTTACACTTATTTTATTCTGGATTAGAATACATTCCACATCACATTTTTGGGGGGAAAAAAAGAGAATCAATGAGACATAGTAATTAAGAGGCTGGGACAATGGAGCCTCCAGCCTCAGTTCTATCCTCACCATGAAAACTCATTGATGACTTTGAGCCAGCCAATCTCTCTGGCTCAACCTACCTCTCACAGGGTTTATTTGGAAAAAGTTTGGAGAAGAGATGAGTGCTCTAAAGTCTAAACCATATGAGCTGAAGAAATTGAGGGATGTGAAGTCAATAAATTAATTAAAAGTCTGTACAAAACTTGCATGTTTAACTTAAGCTATAAACTTATATACAGTACATAGTTTTTCCTAGAACTTGTGTCCGTACTTTGTAAAATGTTTTTTGGGTTCTTTTTTTTTAGCTGGAGAATTATAATATTGTATTTATGAAGATATTAGTATTAATGTACAGTTTTTTGCATGTGTGAATTAGGTATGTTCATCCTGAAGTGAGAATTAAATAAGCATAGTATAAAAAAGGAAGAGAGTCATTTATCTTCATTTCTTTTAAAAAAAATGCACAGAAAAAAGTTATATTTGATACCAATGTATAAAATTCATACGAAATATACTATTTTCCTGCAAATGCATATATTGGAAGAAATAGAAGGGAATTTGTAAACATTTTGATGCAGCTTTTTAAAATATCACAACTTGATACAAAATATAATAAAAGGATAGAAAAAACAGGGCTGGAAACTGAATTCTGGAAGAAATTGAGTGCTGCTTTTAGACCAGGGGTGTCCAATCTTGGCAAGTCTAAGACTTGTGGGCTTCAACTCCCAGAATTCCTCAGCCAGGTCCTAAAGTTGCCAAAGTTGGACACCCCTGATTTACATACTTAATATTTCTGAATAGGCAGAGTGTGGAAAAAGGTATAAGTATTTTAAATAAAGGATTTCCACTCTGGTGATCTTAGAAGCCACAGTCATTGGTGGGTAGAAATTGTCCATGGTGGTTTTACTGGTAACTTTATTATATCGAGGAATCTTGTTAATATTTTCACTAATATTTTGATTGTTCAGCAAAATTCCTAATGTCCAATTCCTATTGCATTGTTAGCCATTCTAATTACTACAAACCTGAGAGGAATGCTAAATTCTCTGCTTCAGACACAAAGCTCAAGGAGTATTGAGCCAACTAATTTGTTTTGATGCTTCCTCTGTATCCAAAGGTTAGCTTCAAAATTAACTTTTAATCATTTTCTTTAGATAATTCTTCTTTATTGCTTAAAACATAAACCTGCTTTTGGATTTTGGAAGTAGAAGACAATTTTCCTGAGAATGTTGTTTTATTTATCTATTTAGTGCATTTCTACTCTATGCTCCCCAATCCTATAACTTTTTCAGAAATACATTGGCACAATTTAAAATAAACAAGTATAAAATAGCAGAATGAACATTAAGCTGAGCTAAAGTTTAATAAATCTTGGTCACTATTAAGGTTTTTTTCTCTCTCTCTGCTGTGCATAATGAAATTTTGAAGATTGCTCTAATTTATGTGCAAGAAAATAATTCTGGAACTAAGATAACCTCTCTTGTGGAAAGGTAGGAAGAAGAAAAAATATGTTCATTGACTTAATAATAACTTATTAATAACAAATGACTGCTATAAAATAACTAATCTGTCTATGAACTAGCTGATTTGCTATCCAACAATATACCAACTACGTTTGCGCACACAAACCATCCTCACACATGGAAACCTTTAAAAAATGCCTGAACCTCTCCTCCTCCCAGCCCCCTGCTTCTAGCAGACATAGGAGAGAGGAAGAAAAATTAGGGAGGGAATAGCTGCACTG